TACAACCCTTTTTACAAACAATTTGGCTATGTTGCTATTTTAAAAAATAATATTGTTTTCACTAAAATTGCAATTTTGTAAATTTATCCTATCTATGTAATCTAAATATAGAAAAATTATGAGAAAAAAAATGTTCTTTGTGCATAATTGATTCAGTAGCAATATTTGAGAGCAACATAATGGGCCAGCCATAGTGCAATGGTTTAAAAAACAACGGTGTGTTCACATAACAAAGTCCTGTACACTTATTAAAAGTGTACATGGAATGCATTTTTAATGTCATGAGAAAATATAGGGTTAAGGGGAAAAAGTAAGATATGAATTGTATTTACTGCATGGTCAAGACCAAGCTAAAATAAGCACAGCAAAAGAAGGGAAGAAAATACTCTAAATTACTAAGTGTGCTTATCTTTGAACTCTGGAGAGAAAAATGACTTTTAAGGGTAATTTTCTGAATTTTATAAATTTATATACAATATTTATGTTAGATCTGATTTGAATATTTTGGATTTTTATTGTGGGAAAATATATAGAATATAAAACTTATCATTTTACCAAGTTTGAAGTATACAAGTCAGTGGCAATAAGGACATTCACATTGTTGTGCAGCCATCACCACCATCCATCTCCAGAATGTTTTCTTCTTCCCCTTTATCTTCTCCTCTGAGTCTCAGGCAACAACTATTCTACTTTTGTCTCTATGAATTTGGCTATTCTAGGGATCTAATATAAATGGAATCATACAATATGTGTCCTTTTGTGTCTGGTTTATTTCACTTAGCATAATCCTTGGAGGTTCGTCCGTGTTGAGTACATGTCAGATTCCACTGCTTTTCAAGGCTACATAATAGTCCATCGCATGCATGTATATACTACAATTTGTTTATCCCTTTATCCACTGACAGACATTTAGGTTGTTTCTACCTCTTTGGCTATTGTGACTAACACTGCTACAAACTTTGATATACAAATACTGTTCAAGTGCCTGTTTTCAATGTTTGAGGGTATATACCTAAAAATAGAATTGCTGGGTCATGTGGCAATTCTATGTTGAATTTTTTGAGGAACAGCCATACTATTTTCCACAGAATGTGTACCATTTTACATTCCCATCAGCAATTCACAAGGGTTCTGATTTGTCCACATACTTAAAATTCTTTACCTAACAAGGTCAATCACTTCATGTGGAAATCTTTTTAAAATGTATCACTCACTTTCCAGCCTTCTTAAAAGGAAATATTAAACAAAGTGTAACCTTTATTTCTTTTAATAATTTATACATTTTGATGCCCCCTCAGGAGCTGCAGAAAGATATTTTTACTTGAGATCTTGCTATGTGCTAGATACTATTCTAAGTTATTTTCAGAGAGCAAATCAATCCTTTCAAAAATCCTGTGAAACATCATTCCCATCTCACAGGTAAGTAGTGAGATACAGGGAGGTAAGAAACTTTTCCAGCTGGTAAGTGAAGAGAGCAGGATTCAAAGTCTATGTCTTTATACATTTTGTTAGACTCGTAACCATCTAAAAATGTTTGTCCATATATTAAGTATCTCTAAACTAATACAGTACACTTTTAGAAAAGTTGTGTATGTTAATGTTTTATTATGTTTTCCCTTCTGGCATTACTCTTGGCATTACTCTTGGGTGGTAAAAGCACTTACCTCTTGCCATTTTCTTCTCTCCAACGCACAGGTTGACACTGATATCCTGTCACCAAAACAGATAAAGAAGAGAGTTAAAACTATGTGAAAAATAAAAGGACATATGTTTGAGAGTGAATTTGAGGGTTCTAAGGGTAAAAATATATGAATTTATGTATTTGAGGTCCATGGTATATATTTTGGCAGTTCAATTACCTATTTTACCTTTTTTTCTGGTTTTGTATGTATATGTGTTCCAGATGTTGAGTCTGCTTTTATGAATGAATATGAGTAATTACTCTTACTCCTACTTACATCGTATAATATCATGTTTTTTTTTAAAGCTTGCTCTCAAATAATAAATCTACTTTTTAAAAATGTCTTTAACCTTTTCATAGTACATGCAAAGAAAAAAAAAAAAAACAAGAAAAATCCTTTTGATATTAAAAGTTTCTGGTACATCGACTATTTAAATTATAGACTCAATGGCTACTAATTACAGATACCCATCAATACCAGCTTGGAATATCTTGGTAGAATTTATTATATGTAATAGATACTTCCTGGAGAGAGCAGACAAGTATTTCTTTCCTTGTGTAACGTGTATATTATGAAATGATGAGCATCTGACATTCTGAAAGTCAAACCTTATTTTCAGTGAAGTAGGAGAGGTCACTAGCTAAATAATTATAACAATAAGCCCCTCTATGTGTCAAAAGCCTTCCCTTTAAAGTAAATTATCATTATGTCACCCCAACACACACTACCACCTATTTTTCTAGAAATTAAGTTTTTCTATATTAACATTTCTTAAAGGATTCTTTTCCACATCTCTAAGATTTTCCTGGGAAACAGGTGAATAACAGTAAAGTTGAGAGAAAAATGTTCACTTAAATACAAAATGGAAAAAATAAATAAAAGTTTCTTTAGTGAAGCTCTAACAGTGCAGATCCCCTTAGGTGTTATAATGAGGTGAGTGATAAATGTACTTTGTACTAATAGGTTTAATTTCCATCTAAAGACTCCAAGCAATTTTTTTTATTCAACAAAATCAGAGTAGGGGGGATTGGGAGAAGATAAAGGAAGCAAAACCACATTCCCAAAGATCTTAACTAGCTGATGGGAATAGCACATTCACAATTTTGTGACTGGTTAGTAGTTAAACCTGAAAGAAAGTAATAAAGTCAGTATAAACTTCTTTTAAGAATTTGCTCCCCAAATCTAAAAGTTTGACAATATAAAACATCCACTGAACTCCAAAGTGTAATCATTTTAACACTGACTGCTTACAAAAACAGTAACACTGTCAGTATCAACAAATGCACTCAAATTCTGATGATTAAATTAACATTATAAGGTATTTTTTTATACCTCAAGTGTACCATGCTGGACCTCACAAACGTACTATAACTATATTTGTTTTTGTCACATAAAGAAAGTTCTCTCTCTACTCACCAACACCCAACTTCTACTAACACAAAATCCTGTGCAAATTAATATTCCTGGGAGTTGACCTCTATTCTCCACCTTTTGCTTTTCTAAATTTCCACTATTTGCCTCTATTATTCATTTTAATATACATTTAATATATTCATTTGCTTTATATTATCTTAAATTCTTCTGCAATTTTTATGTATGTCTTATTGTTCTTAAGTATCACCCATATTAACTAAGACTGATTGTATAGTGAGATTTACGTAAGTTTTTTTCTAATCAATTAATAATAAATTTATACAAAGAAGAAATTGTTGGGAGTGGAGCATTTTTCAAGGCTAATATAATCACGGGGAACTAGATGAATTGTGGACAAGGCCTGGGTCTTGCGGTACTATACATCTTGACAAAAGGGAAAAAAAATGCTATTTAGAAAGATCTAACTTATTAAAGCTGATATACGATCACCATCCAAAAACTGAATACTCTTAACTAAAGAACAATTCATTCTACTTTGTGATGACCACAAAATGGTACAAAAACATTTAAGGAAACCTCTGAACATAGAATAAATGATGTTTGGGAAAACAAAAATTAGAGGGTTTAACAAGCACATAGAATGGAATTGAGAAAAGAGTTGAAAAGATAGCAGCTACTATGTTATAAGAGAAATTTAGTAGATGTATTCTATCAAAACTTTGGATGAGGATTCAAGGTTTCTAGCTGTTAAGCAGTTGAAAGGGGAAAAGGGAGGCGGAGGGAGAGAGGAAAGAAAGAAGGGAGAAAGGGAGGAAAGAACATACAAAAAATAAATTTTAAAGAAAGTCTAGAGTTTAAGAAACAATCTGACAGGTTTATAAAATTTCACTGAAATGGACAGCAAAATTATAATGATCTGCAGTTTCAATCAGGCCCCTCAAACATCTGTAGTTTTACTTTAAATGACTAAAGTGAAATACATCAGATTATGGAAAACGGGGAGGGTTTCCAGCAGTTGGCCAGTGTTCCAGGTGATGAATGCGATGAGCAATTCTTTTAAACAACCGATTTACTGCCAAGAGAGAAAAACATTAGAAGCTCATCCAAAAACTCATCTGCAATTAAGATTACGAGTGGCTGGCCACTCTGTACACCTTCCCCCTTCCTTACTAGAGACGTGACCCTACTCCTGGCAAACACTTCCACACAAAGGCCACCAAAGAACACCACCTCCTTCCCATAAACCCCTTTCCTTTGCCTTAAATATCACTACTAAACCTGCTTTACTCCTTCCTCCCTCCCTTTCCCCCTTCCTCCACCCTTTCTTTCTCTTTTTCCTCCTTTCCTCCCTCCCTACTTTTCTTTCTGCCCCAAATCATTGCTTTTTAAAAAACTACACCCAGTTCAACCCTTCTGCACTCAGCTACCCTACAGGCTCACTGAGTCAGACACAGGTGCTGGCCGGCGCATTGGCTAGCACCATCTGGCACCTGCGATTCATAGGTTCGTGGCCACTTTCCACCCGCAAAGAGGTGAGAGGAGCGGGAGGCAAAGAACACGCGGAGCTGGTGGGACCCAGTTCTTCGGAAACTTTCAGCTGGTCGCAACACTTCCCCAAACCGAAACTCTTTAATCATCCATCAAGCCAGAAAAGTACAGTGACCTCTGCCTAGCCTTTGGAATTGGAAAAGAGGCAAGCAGGAAAAGCGAGACCCGAGGTTCGCTCCTTTGCCTCCCTACTGCCCAACCACAGCGGGCGCAGAGCGGCAGCGCGGCCGGAAGGGGCCGCTGTTTGCTCAGAGCAGCCGCCCCGCCGCCGCCGCCGCGGTCCGCACCTCCCACGTCCCTGCTGGCCCAGCCTCGCCAAGTTCCTACAGCCCCCAGTCGAGCGAGCGCCGGGAACGAGCACCGCCCTGGTAGGAGCAGACGGCGCAGACCGGCCAGGCTGCCGCGCGAGTGGAAAGGCTCCTGGGAAACTCTCAAGGTTCCGGGACTTTGGAAAGGAGAGAGCTAGCAGTCCCCGCGCGCAAGTCTGCGAGTGAGTGCTCAGCTCGGCACCTGTTCCTCTCGCGCCACCGCCTTCCCACCCCTCGGACCCGAGCCTCCCGGGCGCCCGCCCGCCCCGGCGATGAATCCCTCGCTGGGCAACCAGACGGATGTGGCCGGCCTGTTCTTGGCCAACAGCAGCGAGGCGCTGGAGCGCGCGGTGCGCTGCTGCACCCAGGCGTCCGTGGTGACCGACGACGGCTTTGCCGAAGGCGGCCCGGACGAGCGCAGCCTGTACATCATGCGTGTGGTGCAGATCGCCGTCATGTGTGTGCTCTCGCTCACCGTGGTCTTCGGCATCTTCTTCCTTGGCTGCAACCTCCTTATCAAGTCCGAGGGCATGATCAACTTCCTGGTGAAAGACCGAAGACCGTCTAAGGAGGTGGAGGCGGTGGTCGTGGGGCCCTATTGACCGGCCCTCCGGCCCCCGCGGCGGCCGCCCCACACTCCCCACTTCGCCAGTCCGGCCGCGCCCCCTCACCATCCGAGACTGGGCGAAGCAAACCTGTCGGAGTCAATTATTTCTCTCGACTTCTGCCTTTCGGGATGAAACGACCTGTTTCTCGCTCGCTCTTTGAAAGTCCATATGCCTGGCTGTAGGAGGAGAGCGCTCTGACTCTGGACTCGGCAGCAAGAGGCAAGAAGAGGACGGTCGGAGCTCGAACTTTGGAAGCTGCGGCTAGCTTGGGATGCGGGGGAACCGACGGGGCGAAGGCCCTTCTCCACCCGCAGGTGGGCCAAGCTATGGGAGCAGGTAGAGAGGGCGGGCAGGGGAGAGACCCAGCGGCACCGAATGCCCGGGTGGCCTGGAAAGTGATCCGTGTATACGACACCTAACAAAACTAATGGGGACACAAATCCGTGTCGGGATTCGCGCCCATTCTCTCCCGCTTCTCCCAGCCCTGGCGGGAGAGGCGATAAATACCTTCTGATTGATTACAACGTGCCGTTTTAAGGGATTTTTGTGTTTGCTTGAATATAAATATTTGATAACTCCTTTTCTGCCCTAGTGGCCTGTTTGCCTGCCTGGGAGTTAGAGTTTTGTCATCGTGGGGAGAGGGTGGGGGGAGGGGGAGCCTGCGAATGTGAAAGGGGTGAGTTGTTTCTTTCATTGCATTCACAACTGGGTCTTTTGGAGAGGAGGGGCTGGCGCCCCTGCTGGCCCCCAGCAAAGACCCGAAGTAGAACTCATAGGTAGCTCGTGACTGTACGATTTACGCCAAAAAAAAAGTGCTCTTGACGTTCGTGACACCATTTTGACTTTTTTTTTTTTCTTGTTTAACATTTCCTTAATAAATGCAACATTTAAGTGTTTTGTTCCTGGCCTCCTGGTGGTCATTCTGCGCTCCCAGCAGAAGGGAACGGGCGTCGGCGGGAGTCGGGTTGCCGGCCCAGGGAATTGGCTTTGGAGAGCTGTGATTCTACTCGTGGATCACACCGAGGGACGAGACGGGAGGCCTAGAGGCCTGTGAGACATGGCCAAGCCTCAGACACAGGAGCCGTCTGGAGGCAGCATCCTTTGTTTTCTCGTACAGTTAATATTTTATATTTCATTTAGGCTGAGCTCTCCAGCCAGGCGAGCCGACAGGAGGGCCCAGAGGGAACATTACGCTTCCCTGCAGGGCTCCAGTGGGAACGCAGGGTTGTGCGGCTAATGAAAGGAAGAGAGGACTTGACCAGCTTTCAGGGAGGGCGTCTTTCCCCTGACCAACGTCAGCAAGACGGGATGCTGCTCAAAATAATTAATAAATAAATTATTTAAATGCGAGGAAAAGTAGCTGCTAAAAAGTACAGAGTGACGTTAATTCTCCCTGGGGTAAACCATTGTTAGGAAAACCTGTGATGCATTGTCTTTGCACATTAATGTTTTCTAGCAAAAGGGCTAGATTTAACAAGGGGCCCGTCTTGTCTTGAATTTAGGGTAATCAGGCCCAGGCCAAGCACAAATGTTCAGAGGAATTAACCCAAGTCTTGAATGTCAGAGATGAGGGTTACACCCCAAGTTGAGAAGGCGGAGCCAATGTGGAGCTACCAATGTTGGAAAATAAAGAAAACTGTGAATGTAAAAAAAAAAAACCCAAAGCATACAATAGTTTCAAGCTTGAACTTGATAATAGGTTTTAAGCAATTTATGTTTATGCCTGGATTAGGATCCTAAATATTTTCAAGACTATAAAGGATCCTCTACTATGCTATAGCAATTAAAGACTTCACAGTAGCAGATACAAGACTAAAAAAATTAAATAACAATAAAGTGTCCCCTTTACTTGGGAAGAAGCACAACTGTCAATGACTCAAAGGGTTGGGATCAAAAGTTTTGAGTGACCTTTAACATTTTGCCCATTATTAAGTGTCTGTTTCATTCCCAAAGTAAATCTTGCCAGGAATTATGACCTAGAATAATTTTTTGATTGCTAAATAGTATCAGGTTTGTAAAGGATTTTGGTGTTTTGTTTATTCATGTTTCAGCAGGTAAGGGTTTGCTTGTTGTGTGCTTGTTTGTTTGTTTGTTTTGAATCTGGGGAGAGAAGCAGGGTCAACACTAGTCAAGGGTGAGTCATGGAGGGCAGTTTACTTTTGCAAATGTTTAGGACAGGACATGGAGACTTCTTATTTTGTGGACAGTTTCTGTGGCACCCAGTTAACCTGCTGCTTCAAAGGGAGAAACACAACAGAACAAACAGTTCACTCTAGGACAAACCAGACATTTAAATTAAGCTCAGTGTGTGTGTGTGTGTGTGTGTGTGTGTGTGTGTGTGTGTCTGCAATATCTGCTGAGGGTCGCATTTCCCACAAATGTATTAGCCCACCAATGAATTCATTGCTGTGTGGAAATCGATTTGGGATAAAAAAACCAATCAGCTAGTTTGTAGGAATCCCTGTGCAAGGTGCTTTTGTTTATAGTAAGTTTCAGACAGACAAAGATTTCACACCTGCAGGTCAGTTATTAGTTGTTTGTACAAAACAGATTTCTTTTTAAAGCCGAAGTCCTGAAAGTTGAGAGAGGACCTGCCCTAGCTACTACTCTCTTTGCTGCTACCACCTTCTCCCTCCTCTATCACTACCATCTCCTCCATCCTTGTTCCTCTAAATACCTCTTTCCTCTCCTCTGCACCTCAAAAGCAAAATTCAGGGTTTTTTTTTGTTTTTTGGGTTTTTTTTTCCAACAAACCAGATTAATGCTCCTACCCCGAGAAATCATGATTGTAAGACAAACCAGAACCTGAAGCATATAGTCCTTAGGTAGAAAATATATGTGAACAGAGCTCCGAAATCCATGGTCTATGCATTATAGGGAAATGCACATAGTCTGAAAATATCATAGCCCTGGGGACCATTTCCTGCCAACAACTCTTTTCTACATCCTTTAGATCCATTTGTTACTTAGAGAGATGCCAAGTGGTTCTGGTTTTTATAGATGAGGCGATGCGTACAAGAAGCTTTTTACACTCTCTATTCCCTGTGGCCACACAGCAACCGCTTTCGGGGGCCCCACACCAACCCTGTCTCACTGTGCCTTTGACTACTTTTTCCCTGATTCTAACAAATGCATTAAATGAAACTTAAATTCTGCTCAGAGTTTATGGGGCATCAATCCCTTCCCACAGAAGTGCTACAAGAAAAGCGAGGGGGTTTTTTTGTTTTGTTTTTTCAATCCTCACCCCAGGATATTTTTTCCATTGATTTTTTTTTTTTTTTCTAGAGAGAGTGAAGGAGAGGGAGGTAAAGGGAGAGAGGGAGAGAGAAAGAGAGACACATCAATTGATTGGCTGCCTCCCACACACGCTTTGACCGGACAGGGATTGAACCTGCAACCCAGGTACATGCTCTTGACCCTGAATCAAACCCATGACCCCTTGATGCACAGCCAGCGATCTAACCACGATCACACCAGCCAGGGCAAAGAAAATGAGTTTTAAAAGTCACTTCCTGGGTTTCACCTAAGAAAACAATGTCAACTTTAAGAAACTGGGAATTGAGAAGAATAAATGCAAACAGTCAGATTTTTATCATCCCACACTTCAGTCTACCATTTGGTCAGTAATTAGTGGGAAGCCTTGACAGAGAGAGATGGCTTCCTGTAAAAGCTTGCTAGGTCTGACATGGCCCATGGGAAGGTATCTGATACTTCCTGAAACCGGGTGGAAATATACCAGAAGCAGGGAGAGGTTTTCATGAGACATAGCAAGTGGATTAGTGGGGTTGTAACCCTCACAGGCTGTGCAGACAGCCACTGATGCCTCTGAGCCTAATTGGTGGCCTCCACCTAAGTAGCTTAGCTAATTGCTGATAAGTGGTATTTTTCTCAAGATTGGTGTTATGAATCTTCCCACACTCTAAAAAAATGTTCAAGAACTTGAGCACTGGACATCTTGAAAACTGCTTGAGGGAAGTCAAAGCACAAAGGTCACAGTACTGTGTTAAGTCTAAATCACATTCTCTCTTGATTAATGGTCCCTGTGCCTGATTTCCAATTTCCAGGCCACTCATTGGATCCGGAGTCAGACCTGTGTCCCCCTATATTAATTCTGAGTAAGGGAGGCAAAGGCACACTGAACCATAATGTAAGAATGATTGGTTCTTGTCTCTACGTACTTGAGTAGTCTCATCCCTAAAATGAGGACGATGGATTCTAAAACATTCCAATTCTAAGATTCTACTGAATTAATTTGTTTAATATTTCCTTGTATCTTAAAGTGTTTTTTAGATCTCTTCCATAAGTAAGTTAAAAATACATTTTACTGTTCCAATCTTGGTCTTCCAGGTAGAAATTCCCACCCCCAAAAAGTCAAATGCTCCTTGACTCAGGATACATCCATTATTTATAATAATCAAAGTAATATTTCAGGCGCCTAGCCAGATCTAGGTAAACAGCAGTTTCTCAGCTGACAGATCACACATCATCTAAACAGTGCCTTAAATACCCCAGATCTCTGTGTTCTCACTGGATGGAGCAATGAAAGCAAAGCCCAGAGAACTGGGGAGCAAGTCATCTGCAAGTGATTCCCATAGGTGAACACGCATTCAGACTCGGATACACTGTTGTTTAAGAAACTTCTTGTGTATTTCAAGACTAAGTAACAGCCCATTTTTCTCCCCTAAAGCATGTTCCCCTTTGAGCACAGCAGCTGTTTCACACAGTTTAGAGCCTTTCTTAGCCCTGGTTTGTTATACCTGTCATTTTGGGGGGAGTTGCCACGCCAGGAAAGGATTCCAGGGTTCAGTTTGTTCTCTAAGACTCAAACCTAATTTGAAAGCCTGTTGAAGCAGCAAGTCTACAGCAATCTCCAAACAGGAATCAATAAATCTTTTATCTACCTGCCAAACCCCATTTAGATATGTGCACAATCGCTCAAATGGGATATGTTAAGGTCAGCTGCACCAGTAGTAATTGTTTCCTAATGTCAGAATTTAAATGCTCAAAGCTTAACTGCTTCCATGGCCAATCTCACTCTGTCCTCCTTTCCACATACTTTTGTATTGTTTTAAATGCTTAACGTGTTTGAAAGTCCAGGATTAAATTTAGAGCATCAGCTTAGATTTTTAAATTCTTGGAAAGTACAGTTGAGGAAAAAACTAAAGTATATAATATTATCAGCAGGTCATAAATCATTGATGGTAATAATAAAATAGTCTAAATGTATTACTTATATTTGAAAAATTAAAAATATTTCAGACAGAGCTTCTACAAAGACTATTGTAAGGATAACTAGATGCATTTAAAAACACTTTTAAGTAAGCTTGAAAACAGTGGTTTCCTTTTAACCCAAATAACAATATATACTAAATGAGAATAAAGAGGGTGTATTTTTATTTACTTGACTATTTATGTATATTTTGAAGGGGTGATAGGTAAATTGTTTCCTTTTCTAAATAGATGTAACTGCTTGTTTGCTGAAATAGTTTTGTGTAGGTAAATGCAGGCAGAGTGATTAGTATATAAAAAGTCAACGCATCTGTAATAATGCTGCAACAAAATTCTGGCCTGCCCCTATTTTAAAACTGTTTTCCATTAGATAGCAACATTTGCTAAACTCATAATTCAAGCAGACAGTGCTTGTCAAACACCCATGTGTACATGGTACATTACAACATATTACTGAAAAATTGAGATGATTCCTGTTCATTTGCACCATAAAACACAGGCACAGATAAACACACATAACAAAGGCATATAATCTACCCACACGAATCAAATAATAAATTATTCCTGTTTCTTTTTCTGACATTCATAGTGACATAAATAGACATATATAATTATGCTATAGCCTACATATTGCATGGTTTGTTACAGGGAGAAATGTTAGTTTTTCT